TACTGCACTTGCATATTTGAATTTAACCCTACCAACAGTCATATACTCAAAAGTCCTGTTCTTTGTAACAACAGAGCCACCCCTAAAGAGGTTTTTTTTTTCCAAAAACATAAAACCATGACTAATTTTAGCAGGCCTTTGGGCCACTGTAAATTAGTTCCTACAGCCTGCTGATTGAATTAAAGTCTTTTAAATTGAGTTCCTCATCATACTTCAAAAGTTATCATGCAGAGAGATTTTGTTGAATCAAATCTGCTTTCAAATTTTATAGTTTGAGGAAATTCCATACTTGGAACGGGAAAAGAAAAAAAAAGTGAAGTGCATTTATAGAGATTCAAACCAGTTGTGAGAACTGGAATGCCACTATTTTCTTTCATTGGATTTCACCAGCAAAAGGATGGGAAAAGATCCTGGCCAGCCCCCAGCCATCCAGAACTGGCCCTTTCAGCAGACTGGACGGTTCAGGTGATGTTTGCTCCTCAGAATCCCACCTGGAGCAGTGGGCATTATTCCATGGGTGACATCTGCCCACCACTGGCCAGGTTCTGCACAGTAAATGCCTGAGCAGGACTCCAAAGCCTTGCTCAGGTGGGATGCTTTGCATATAAAATAATAATAATAATGAATTACAGCTCTATCAGGCATGATCTAGGAGTCACAACTCCAGCCCTGGACCTATAAATGGTGTCACTAACAAATCTGTATTGGGAAAATACTGAAATCCTGCAAATGGGGGCACAACAACCCACATGGACATCAGGGACACCTGAAGGATTTTCTCCCAAAGGCCACAAAGTACAAAGGCCTATTGCCTGCTGCCATAGAAGGGAAAACCCAACAGCCTAAGCCTCATAAACTGACAGGCCAGCAAGAGCCAAATAAAATTCAGGAAATTTATCCAAAATCAAATCTACCGACCAATGTCTTGGAAATATTTTGATTCATCAGTGCTAAAGAAATATGCCATGAATCCAAAGCCCATGAGTTGGGAAGGGGAAGCTGTCCCCCGACCATCATCCTGGCTCATCTTCTTCAGTCTACAGCCACATGATTTCATTTCCACACTGCTGCTGGCTCACACCAAGGCTCACACAAACACCCAGGCTGGCAATGGGACCTGACAGAGGTATTCTGCCTTCAGCAAGGAAGGGTTTCCCTAGCCCAGCCACCAGACACTCCCATCTTTGGGATCTGAGCAGTTGTAACCCTCCTTCTTCTCACTTGCACCCTCAGAGCAGTCAAGCCCAAGAGAAACCCCTCGACTAAGCAAGAATCACACTGGCAGAAGGCGACAGCAAAGTGCTTTGGGAAAGTCATGCAGGTGCCACCAATTTACCTTTGACAGGGCTGTCACTCGGGCTGTGGCAAGGAGCCAAAGCTTCAGAGGTGTGCCCCCGCTGTGGTCCAGCACCAGCCATCCTGCAGCCTCCTCCAGGCTCTCCTCCCCTCCTCCCCTCCCCTCTGGGACCTGGCACTTTTGGGTCCTCAGGAAGGGAAGTGATGAAATCAGCAGGAGCTGGAAGGATTTTCTCAAGTAGGCCAGCAGTGGGAAGGAGAAGCACATTCCCCTCCCCGTCTGGTTTGCCTCTGAGAGCTGAAGAGCTGGCCTGGAACAGGAGCTGGCATGGAGCACAGCCCAGCTCGGCGTTCGCCATGTGCAGATGGAGCCAAGAGCGGAGGGGAAAGCGCCTGCAAGCTGGGCACACACTCACTGCTCCAGTGCTGTGGGGCTCAGCCCTCCCCACGGGTGCAGGGCTCTAACACAAGCGTGCCCAGCGTTCTGTGAAAGGTCTGCACTGAACAGCAGAGCAGATCCCAGGCACGATCCGACTCCAACCTGTCCCTGATTACACATATCTGTAACCCAGACAGACACCACAGGCTCGCTCTGCTCTGTGCCCTCCTGCAACTTCAAATACAGCCCTGGCTCGAAGGTCTCTATTTGCAAACATAGAGGAACAGTGGTTCTTAAATTGCAGGCAAACATTTGACTTCACTCAGGGCAATTCAAAGAATATCCTGCACAAACCCCACCCTTCTGCCTGACAACTCAAACCTTAATGCCTAGATAGTTTTCTTTCAGGCCTTATCACAGATAAAATATGGCCCTTTTTTTTTCTTTTTTTTTTTCTCTGAAGGAGTAAAACCTGCCAAATATTTACCAACTCTTTCAGAAGGCTGAAAATGTCACCCCTACAGTGTAATAAACTTCCCCGGAAAGGCCCTGATAAATAGAAAGCCTTGCTGTACTGCCCAGAACTAGTTTAGTGTGGCCTGAGTATTGCCAAGTCTGACTGACAAAGGAAGCATATTTGTACACACAGAAAGATTAGCAAGAGAGGCATAAAGTTTATAAGTGAAAATAAAACAAAGCCCCATTATTAACCGGGGAGGGGGGAATAATTGAATCTGCATCCCAGAGAGCACAGAACATTATGAAAGCCTCAGAGCTAAAACAATAATTTAAGAGCTTGTCCACAACTTGCAGCAGAAGCTTGAACCATCTTCTCTAGCATTTGGAAAGTGCTAAACCATGGTCTACCCCCAACCCAGCCTTCAGAGCAATATTATTTAAAAATAAAATATTTTTACTTGGTAATTTGACCCACAAAAAGTCACTTGGGGCATGAGGGAATGTTCCCTTCCAGCCTGAACATTAATTCAGAGAGAATGTTTAAACTCCACAGTGTAAACCAGATGCTGAGAAGTACATCTGCATTGTACTGTATGTTCTTTGGGGCACAGACAGAAGTTGGAAAGTGCCTGTCAATGCAGTGTGTGTGGCTATGATCTAAATAATCCCAATAATGTGGATGAATGGAGAGAAAGCCACATTCCTAGTACCAGCCAGTCTGTCAACAGAGTCCTTGCAGCTATAGACAACTATATCCACACTAGTGCAAACAGATGAATATTGCTTAAAAAATGTGTCCTTTCACCTTGGCAAATGCCATTAGGAAAAAAACTCTAAAAGTGACTAGGGAGTTGGAAGCTCAAAGGTACACATTTAACAAGCCTTGGTGACCGTAAAATGCTGAGCACTCACTTTCTACAGAAGCCAGGCTTCCACTGAATCCTGACTGGTACACTTAAACGAGAAGGTAGTAACTGAAATTATGCTGTATAGTGCTCCAAAATAGGTTTCAGAGGGACAAAAACTACTTAAAGGCAGGAAAAAACTAATTGCTGCTGGGAAAAAAAGAATCCAGATTATGTTAAACCTGACAAAAGCTAAACTCGGCTGTTTACCCAGCTTAACAAAGAACAGCACAGTTAAGAAACTCTGGTGTGAAAGGGAAAACTTCATTTTAGCCCACCAGCATGTCCAGGAGCCCGACCAGCAACACACCCAACCTCCAGAAAAATCGCTGCTTGCCAGAGATGCCTAACAAGTTGCACAAGTTGGAAGGAGTGGGCTGAGGAGGCACAGGAATCTGCTCCCCGTCCCCCTTTCACACCATCAGGTTTTAATGTTAATGACACGGCTCCGCGTGCCTGGAGTATTTTTACACTATGCTCGTCTTCTTGTAGCGCCGACTTGTTCCAGGGAGGATGATTAGAATCAGATTTCTGTGATTTCACTGCAGATTTGTTTCGTGTAGGGATACAGATCTGCAGGGGAAGATGGCTGCAAACAGGCCAGCAGAGTGGGCTCCGAGGGGCTCTCTCCTAAAGGGGTAACAGAATCTTTGCATTTATTCCTTATGTTCAGGTAGTTTTCCTGTTTGTGGCCACTAGACTGGGTTCTTTGGAAAAACAGGCATATAGAGAAAAGAAATGGGCAAAAAGTTTTCCTTGAAATTTTGGTTTCCAAGAAAGCTCCCAACCAGAATAGGTTCATGAAGAGAACAGGCCCAAGTAAGACCTGACTGCATCCACTGTCCCCCAAGTCAAAAGAAGCACCTGAGGGACCAGACACAGGAGATAATTCTGATCTGTCAGGGTCTGTATGTGCTGACATGTGTCAGAGCAATAGCTATTAATACATGTTAGTGTGCTGCACGCAAGTGTTTGGATATAAAGGGCTGAAGGAGAAAAAAATATGCAGAGGTCTGTAACAGCATTTGTAAATTTCTCCTAACTGCAAAAGAAATAGCACTTATTTTTAATGGGCAATGGCTACAAAAAATTGTGCTGAAAACCGAGTTTGTTCGTAAAAATTTCATGGGAACAGAGCATAAGAGTTGTGTGAGTCTGTGTACACTCATACAGAATGTAGACTCCTACAAAGCTATATCAGACAGAAAATTAAATTCTAAGTGGCTCAAAAAACACATAGGAAGATTTTAATCTTCCATTCGCTTTTATAGACCTTAGCCATGAGAATACTGTTGCCACTTGGCCTTTTTCTTTACTGGAGGTCAATATCATTGACTTTTTACAAGAGAGAAGTAAAAACATCTCTACATAAATCAAAAAATTATGAGGACCCTCAAAATAGTTCTAAGAACTTAAAATGCAATGTAACATAACACAGAAGGGCACAGAAGTTATAAATATGACGCTATACAAGCCAAGAGTAATATACACACCCGGAGCTGTATATACACCCGTGCCCAAAGAAGGAGCACAAACCAATGTCTGCAGACGCGCAGTGTGCCGAATCGAAATCCGACAAATAATAAGGAACTCCGGAATGCTGGGTGGTAAAAACGCTTAGGTGAGTAAGAGAATTTCCGGCAGCCCGCCTGCTCCGTATGGATGTGACTAGATTTACTAAAAAAAGAAAAAAAAAAAAAAAAAAAAAGAAAAAAAAAAAGAGAAAACACATGTGTTTTTAGAAAGTGAAAGCGGAGGGAAGGATGCACATGGTCCTGCGGGAGCGAAAGCGAGCGCTCTCTCCGCCAAGGCAGGGCCGGGCACAGCCGGTCCGGACCGCCGCGAAGCCGCGGGGATGGCGCCAGCACCGGTAGGACGCGCACGTTTAAGGCCTTTTCCGAGGCAGAAGAATACAAAATGCACTTACGGTTCGCGGAGAACCAAAACANNCCCGCGTCCCGCCCGAGCCGCCCCGGGCAGCGCCGGCGGCGCCGCCGCGCTCCGTCTTCGCCCGCTGCGCGCCCGGCAGGTCCCGGGAGCCGAGAACTGGGACTTTGTAGGCCAGTTGAAGACACGAACCTCTCATCTCGCCCGCAAAGACCCAGCCCTCAGCTCGCCCATCAGGCGCAGGCGACCACTACTCACCGCTATCTTTAACGAAACCCCCGGCGGCGCAGAGCCCCCGCCCCGGGGCCATCGGGGACCCCGCCGGAGGGGGATCATTCCCCCGGCCGAGGAAGGCAGCGATCCGCGCCGCCCCCTCCCCGAACTTGAGAGCTGTCTCGGTCCCGGCTCCCGGAGCCGGTCCCGCACCTCGGGCCGGGCCCCGACGCCCATCGTGACTCGGCACCGCTGATCCCGCTCCTGCGGGAACTTCGTGCGCGGAGAGGCGGGAGCGAAAACACCAAACAGAAAATCCCGAGCCCCTCCGTTACCTGCTCTGAGTGGAGGGGGGCACGGGAAAGGGGCTGGTGGGCCCCCGCCGCCGCCTCCCCGCCCAGAGCCGCAGGTCCTCGGGAATCCGCACGGGAAGGGCTCGGGCTGAGCCGCAGCCGAGCGGGAGCAGCGGCAGCGGGCGGGCGGCCGCGCTCCCCTCTCTGCCTCCCGCAGCCGAGGGACTCGCAGATGGGTATTTAAGCCGGTATTGATCACGGTGGGATTTTTCCTACCCTTTCTCTTTGCCCTTGCAAAAGGCAAAAAATAAAAATAAATAAATAAAATGCGTTGCCACAAGGGACGTTGCAACATTTCTCTCGGCTTTTCAAACGCGGCGTTTGCCCCAGCGAGATTGAAGTGTCCCAACACAAGAGCAGCAGAGAAGTAGGGGAAAGAGGGGGAAAAATACCAAAACCACCCAAAAGCAGAAAGAAAAAAAATAAAAAAGCCAAAATCCAACACCCAAAGCCATCAAACCGGAGAGAGACGAGCTTGCTCCGTGCAGCGTTGCGGTCCCGGGCGGCGGGGCTCCCGTCCGGCGCAGACACGCGTCCCTCAAAAGTTCGCTCCACGTGTTGCGGCCGCGTCCCGGGAGGGTCGGCGCGGCCCGGCGCACCGGGGCGGTGCGGGCTCGCTCCGCCGGTCCCGCGCCGTTTAAGGAAGCGGCCAGTCCCCACCCCTGCGCCGGGCAGCTCCCGCCGCAGCCCGGCCCGGCGGCTCCGGCAGCTCTCCCGGGCTGCCCTCCCCACCCGCTGCCCTCCGCGACGCCGCGCCGGCACGGNGCCCGCGCACCGAGGGCGCGGCGCGCCCCCTGCCGGCCGCTCCCGGCGCTGCGCCAGCGGGGCCAGGGCCGAGCCGGGCCGGGGCAGAGCCCGGGACAGAGCCCGGGACAGAGCCTGCGGACAGAGCCCGGGACAGACCCCGGGACAGAGCCCGGGGCAGAGCCCGGGACAGACCCTGCTGACAGAGCCCGGGACAGAGCCCGGGACAGAGCCCGGGACAGAGCCCGGGACAGAACCCGGGGCAGAGCCCGGGACAGAGCCCGGGACAGAACCCGGGACAGACCCTGCGGACAGAGCCCGGGACAGAGCCCGGGACAGACCCCGGGACACAGCCCGGGGCAGAGCCCGGGACAGACCCTGAGGACAGAGCCCGGGACAGAGCCCGGGACATTCCCTGCAGACAAACCCTGCGGACAGACCCTGCGGACAGACCCCGGGACAGACCCCGGGACAGAGTACGGGACAGACCCCGCGGACAGACCCTGGGACAGACCCCGGGACAGACCCCGCGGACACCCCGGCATCTCCCGGCGGCGACACCCGCTCCGCACCCCGCACGCACCCAAGCTGCTCGCAGCCAGCATCTCCCTACACTGCTCCCTGCACATGTCCCCGTACTGCTCTATGGGTATCTCCCCGTACACCTCCCTGCACATGTCCCCGTACTGCTCTATGGGTATCTCCCCGTACACCTCCCTGCACTGTTCCCTGCACTGCTCCCTACATATCCAGTCTTCTCCTGCACACCTTGAAGTGGGCATGGACTTCATACCTTGGGATTCGATACCTTGAGTGTATCCCAGGTATATCAGAGGACAAATTCTACCCTTCCATATGTGCCAAGTCTCTCCAGTAAAACTGTCTATGACCAAGAAAATCTGGGCACAAAGCGCATCTGTACCATGTATGGATAAATTGTGTAATTTCTTTACACGACACTCAGTTGTAAATGTGTTTTTTAAGAAAATGCCACAAGGACCTGAAAGGTTTTGGGTTCTTTTGGGTGACTTTTGTGCTCACGCATTATGTAATGGAGTGCTCATGTGTGACATAATTGTGCACTTACGTGTGACGTAATTATGTGCTCATGCATGAGGTAATTGTGTGTTCATGCATTAAATAATTGTGTGCTCATGCATGACATTATTGTGCCCTCATGCATGTGGTAATTTTGTGTTCATGCATTATATAATTGTGTGCTCATGCGTGAAAAAAATCAAAGCTAACAGCCAGAGGCCTCATCTTTTAAATCTTTGGTTTCAGCACCCAATGCTCCTCTCTGTCATCTACACCACATTTTTTTCCTGTGTCTATACTGAGGACAAGGCAGCCCTGTGTATGCGTTGTTATGGATGTGGCAAGTGACTCTACCTGGCCTGCGTGGACAGAATGCCAGAGAGAGAACTTGAACTGCTCTGCCACAGAACTGCTCTCCATCAGCACTGAAGCCATCCTCTACACAGAAGAACGTGTTCCTTGGCTAGAGGCCTGATGAATATGTAGAGCCAAGGAACATGTTGTATAAAACTGATAGTAGAATGCAAAGTGAATCATGGACCATGGGCGAAAAGGTTGGAAGAGGGACAGAGCTCTATGAGCCTTTTGAAAATAAGACATTCTGGCAGAAGATAGAAAAATAAAGAATTTCTTGACCATCTGGAAGGGTTCTGCAGAGATGATGCCTAGAGAGTACAGTAGAAATTAAGACTTCCCAAAAAGGTGTAAAAGACACTCGCCTTTTCTCTGGTGAAGGGAATAGCTGCTGTAGAAAGCACTTACATTGAACAAGAAAAGGCTCATCAGCTTTTAGGAAATAAGAGACTGCTACTCTTACAGGATGCAAGTTACATCTGCCAACCTCACTCTCATTTTTTAGGGTTTTTTTAATACTTTTTTTTTCTCAGTCTCAATCCTGTAGCTGCTTGAAACACCACAGAATAATTCCGAGAACAACAAATTCACAGCAAAAAAATGTACCTATGTGTATGGAAGGTAGAGCATGAGCCAGGGAATGGAGTTCCTCCCTAACTGAGCTGATGGCACATTGCTTCTCTGATGTCCCGACCAACTGCTTAATTTGCTATTTTCAGCAGCCTCAAAACATGTTGCCTCTTGTCTTGACCTGGCCCCCACTAGTGCTGATGTGAAGCGCCACTTAATTTTCATGAGAGCAGAGCAAGACTTTCACACAACATTTTTGCCCAGCAGGAGCTCTTTTGCAGGGAGCCTGATCCCATGGGATGTGCTCAGCTGCTGGCAGCCCATTCCCACTTCCACTGATGCCCCTGGCAGCCCTGTGGTAGTAACAGGATAAGGCATATTTCAGACAAGTCTTCACTTGGCAGGAGGTACTTCTGTACCTGAGAAGGTCAGGTCTTAGGACTTCATCTCCTCTCACAAATACCTGCTGGCTGCCCTTCATGGTGTGCAGAATCCATGCACAGGGAATGCATGAGTACACCCCTGTCTGGATGGGAGCTGGGAAGAGGATTAGGTCTGCATAGAATTCAGATGTAATCACAAGCATATCAAGTTGTAAAGCATCACAACTTACACAATTCTAAAAATAAACATAACCAGTTTCTTTCAAGCTGTTTGGCAGGCAAAAGGTTAATATATTAATAATGTTTGACTAGCAACAGTCCAGAACAATAACTATGGAACAACAGGTTCTGTCACTTCTGAAAATAGCCCTCTTTGGGAAAAAAGAAAACATTTTCACAAGAGCCACAAACCAGATGGAGCAGCTTCTTTAGAGGTGTTCACGAAGTAGAAGCCAGGTGTGAAATTTCTAAAGTCAGGAGGGATCTTCTGTGGGTGGGAGAGTGCCCTGCCTGCTGCTGAGTGGGACATGGACCCTGTGGATGGTGCTTGGTCCAGGTGAATGAATACATGCATTAATCTGAGTCTGTCTTTCTCAATCCTGCCTGTGCTTATGCAGTACCTTTCTCTGCCAGTAGATCCACTGATTTGCTAACTCTTGTGTGTGGTACTAAGCAGCACGTGAGCAAGACTGGCTTGTAGCCAACAGTTTGGTATTTCGGCATCTGACCTTGTTGGGAAAGAGAGTGGATTGTCAAAGATGTTAAACTTGAACACAGTGTAACGATAGAAACAGTTCAAATCCACTGATGGCACAGGATGAAATTCTGGTCTTCACCCGCAAATATGAATCCATGCCAGAGACAAGGGTCAGATCTGTCTCTCCATCTTTTTTTTTTTTTTTTTTTTTTTTAAGCCAGAACAGTAGGAATAACAAGTTTGTGATTAAAAGTTCAGAAATGTGCAAACACGATGTACTGCAAGGAGCTGGCCTGACCCCATGTACCTGAGCAGGAACACCAAGCAGGCAGGTTCATTAAGGATGCAGAGGAAACTGCAGTCCTTCCTCTGAGATCCTTACTAGAAGCTGGTGGTTCACCTCAGAGCACCCATGTAGCACCAGTGAGCTGCAGCCTCCAGTCACTCCAGTCACAGACATGCTCTGGTTCTCTGCTCAGTGGCCAAGGCTCTGCCTGTCCAAAGAACCTCTGGCAAATCATCCATACAAGAGGAATGCCCTACCAAAAATTGGGCCTTCACATTTAAAGCATGTGTGCGTATATTGGAGAAAGGAGAAAATCACAGAACTAATGAGCTCTGATTAAACTCAGAAATAATGGTTTCCTGTTCAAACACAGAGCTCTGTCTCTTCTTAGGACAACTACCTCATCCCCAATTGTGTCTATTAAAGACAATTACTGGGGGAGACAGATATGTGTAACCAGATGTGGAAATAACGGTCAGCACCATATGCAGTTTAAATTCTTTGGGCCTGAACAAGTTACATAAAAAAAAATTGTGTGTGTATGTTTGTGCACTGTGGAGCAGCTGTCAATGGGGAAATCCCCTTAGCCCACTTTAATCCTACGTTCCACAATCCCCAGGGATTAAACAAATGCACTAACATTATTTACTGTAATGCTCCCTCCCTGGGGGGCTTCAGTCCGTGAAATCCACTCCAGCATTTGCAAGTTCCAGTTGTGAAATAGGCTGTGCACATTCTATATTTGGTAGCTCACAAGTACTCTTTCAGTTGGGCCCAGAGTGATGAAAGGACAGGAGTCAGGAATTCAGCCCAAGCAAGTCTCAAAGGGACCAGGCTCAGTCTTGGAGCTCATTTCTCACTGTGCAGGTCTTGCACAGGCACTGAGGCATTGCAGTGACTGCTGAGAGGGGACAGTGATCGCAGGACTCTACAAGATGCTTCCCCAAAATTAAAGATGCTGCCACAGTATGAGTCCTCCTATCTGTACTCTGGACATATTAAATGAGGCTTTAAACCCTGATACACAGTGGAGCCTCACACAGCTCCCACTTTCCTTTTCCTATGATGAAATCTGTGCTCAAATCCCAGTGAAATTAGGAACAGGGATTCCCCCAATCCAGATGCATAATCCTACAATCCCAGTAAGGCTGTGACAGTGCAAACTGCACACCATTGAACTCTTGTAACCATCTAGGTACAGTTGATGGCCACAATGCCCAGCAATAACCCAGACAAGATTCAGGCTCCCAAGGACCCTCTGACATACTTGCAAGGCCAGCTGATTGCTCCATCTCTTGCTTAAGCTTCCCATCCAAGTTTATTACAGCTCCTTCAAAGACAGTAAACATTACATTCTATATTAGGCTGTCCTTGCCTTGAATTCATATACAGTTTAAATTCTTTAACTTGGGTGATTGTACCAACTCAGCACTAGTTTGAAGCAGTGCTGCCACAAGTGAGCTGGCAAGGCAGGGCCCCAGAGAGCACCCTCTGAGACAGGCACTGCTCTTAGTGCAGGGATGGTTTGGCCCCATGTCCTGCAGGCACAGCAAACAGTACAATTCAGAGGCAAAGAAGTTTCACAGAATAGCTGAGGCTGAACCTCTGGAGGACATCTGGTCCCACGCCCTGCTCCAGCAGGGTCACCTAAAGAAGGCTGCCCGGGGCTGTCTCTGGATAGCTTTTGAATTTCTCCAAGGATGGAGACTGCACAACCTGTTCCAACATCAGTCCTGCTCACTTGGAAAACTCTTTCCTTATATTTGCATGGAACCTCCTGTGCTCCAGTGTGTGCCCTTTGTCTCTTGTCCTGTTTGTTGCTGAAGCTTTTGCACTGATATCTCAGGCTGGCCTCTGAGCCTGGCTTTGGCACTGTAATCGCCAGGCCTGTGCAGAATGCAAAGGCAGTTCCTCTCCATGAGATGGCACTGCTCTTAGTGCAGGGATGGTTTGGCCCCATGTCCTGCAGGCACAGCAAACAGTACAATTCAGAGGCAAAGAAGTTTCACAGAATAGCTGAGGCTGAACCTCTGGAGGACATCTGGTCCCATGCCCTGCTCCAGCAGGGTCACCTAAAGAAGGCTGCCCGGGGCTGTCTCTGGATAGCTTTTGAATTTCTCCAAGGATGGAGACTGCACAACCTGTTCCAACATCAGTCCTGCTCACTTGGAAAACTCTTTCCTTATATTTGCATGGAACCTCCTGTGCTCCAGTGTGTGCCCTTTGTCTCTTGTCCTGTTTGTTGCTGAAGCTTTTGCACTGATATCTCAGGCTGGCCTCTGAGCCTGGCTTTGGCACTCTAATAGCCAGGCCTGAGCAGCTGTACTGTGCAGAATGCAAAGGCAATTC